AGAGTGAAGGTCAGTTAGTTGAGCAGGCCTAGAGGGTTTAATTAACCTGATCTAATGCGCCACGCACGGTTTTCCTTTCTTCAGTGTACTAGTACCTCTCTGCCTCGGCTTAAACTCCATATCCCGGAGAGAGGAGGGCATGGCTGCGTAACCCTTTTGAAAAGGGTGGCGATTATGTTTCTGGGAGACATTTTCGTTTGCAGACAGTTGTAAAATACCTTTGTTCAGCACAAGGCAGTATGGCAGTGGTCTCAAACAGAAAGATTCCACAAGAAAAGTATTCTGCCCATGACCACATGAAGTGCGCAGCCACGCCCTCCCTATCTCGGGGATATGAGCTGTATACCTCTAGTGTTGACTTCTATTATGTGGTTATGTAGGTACAACATAGTTGGTTACGGAATAATATTAATGTAATCTGTGCAACAATTGCTTTCGGAATGGGTATCGACAAACCAGACGTGCGCTTTGTGATCCACTACAGGTAACTGCTTTTACTTTTGTGGGCTTGTAGCGTTCGTTTTCTACGCTTATTTTAAAATAGCGCAGTATTTAGACGGATCGTCGGGTACCAGACCTGCACTGCTATGGCCTAGGTTGAGCTGCCGTCATCAAGTTACGGTTAAATGGTTGAAATTGCGCGAATTCAGCTCATTTTCTGGATTCAAGCATCAGCTGTAGCATGTTTTCCCCCTTCGTAGCTTGCGCTTGGTCACGTGGGAAACGGAGAGTTTTTGACGCGCAGCAGTTCGGCTTAGTGGGGGCACGGGATGGAATTCAGCTAATCTTTTGTAGACTATCTTGTAGAGACCTGTAGATTCGCGTGACCAAAATGACTCACGCAAAAATGTCGAGCTTCACACGAGTTTGCAGTCTGACCATTAATCATGTACTGAACAAATAAAGGGAACTAGCGAAAGTGCAAAATGCCCCTTCAAGCCGAGAAACGCCCTGAGACCTTTCGATTTTCGTGGACGATTGGACGCATGTCCATGCTGATCATGTGGGCGGAATCAGACCTACTAGCGTGCCTTGCTCTATAGCAGGCTCCACCAGTTCAATGTCTTATAAAGTAGAGAGGCACTAACGAGGAAGACGTGAAGGTCCGTCCCACACGATTAGCATGGACTGTGTCGCAGAGCGAGCAACAGCTGATTCTCAGAAGAAACCTCCCAGTTCGCTGAAGAAGTCATCTTGTTCTCTGAGATAAAACGCATTTTAGTCTCCCGAAATCGATTGAGGGTTACTATCAAGAGACTGGACGAGCTGGACGAGATGGGAATCCATCCTACTGCTTACTGCTTTACAGTTATAATGACATGCACCGTCTTCGGAGAATGATTGAAGGTTAGAGCTTGATAAACATAAAACATCCCAAAAAATGTCAAAACAATGAGAAAACGGGAGTAAGCCGCTGTCTTTTAGGTGACGACAGCCAAGCACCAGCGAGTGTCCGGTCAATGCACCTACAAAATATCTACCAGGTGGTATCGTACTGTGAAAACATTTCGCTCTGTAGGAGAAAGATTCTCGTTGAGCATTTTGGAGAGGTGAGCGGTGAGCTCTTTGCAGGTGCTCCTCCAGAACCCTAAGGTCGACGCTATCGACGCTACAGATATTTTGGAGTTGAGAAAAGGGTAATGATTCAAATCATCAGAAATCACTTTCCTTCAGGTGTATGATGCGCAGATGTGCCTGAAAAGCAGTACACCTTGCGATGTGTGTCGACGCTTGAGGCACGCACCAGATGCAGTGAAGCTGTACGACATGTCTGATGAGGCGTTCATGATTTTGTCAGCGATGACCAAAATGCGCAACGTCACGTTACGGTACGTGGGCGATGGAGATTTTTGTAGCTATAGTTGGATTAGGACCCCTTTATAAGCAGGAATGTTGCCTGGCACGTCTGTCTAGAAGCAGTGCTATTCGGGTTGGGACAGGAGGAGCAGAAGCAAAAACAATTAGAATTTGGTGAAACGGAAATAGTGGGTATGTGATAAGACAATCGTAATGTGTCGCCGCCGCCGCGGGGGCGCGACGAGCGCGCCGCACTCGGAAGACGAGTTGTCCTGTCTGGTCGTTCAAAATTAAGTGGTGAAAGGACGGGAAAGTTCAGTGTCGCCTG